TCGAGTAAATTTTGGAACACGGCCAGGAAGTAGCAATGGCTCTCGTACGGGGCGCAGCCAAGCCAGTCAAGCAGCCAAACCGATCCACTACGAAAAGGCGGGGGTACCTTTCCTCCACGCGCCCGAAATGCCGAGAGAGCAAACAAGTGGAAAGGAGGTGACTACCGACTAAATTGCGTCTGGCGCAGTCAATATTGCTCTAAAATTTTTTTTTTTTTTCGCGTAAAATTTATTTTTTAACACGCCTGTCCCAACCAGACTGTTTAAAAAAAATAACTTTTTTTTTCTCTTTTCAGGGGCCCTTTAAGCGTACTCCACTAGAAGTTTTCGCGCTCTGTCAACTTTTATTGATGCCCGGTTTTTCAAAACCCAATACCTCACCACGTCGGGGATACGCCGGTAGAACTGCTCGAGGGACATGCAGTCTACGACCTTGTCATGCACCCTGTATTTAACCACTTGAACTGGTTTGTCCCTGGGTTGTATGCGAGCTCCAAGTATCCCTGTTCGGGCTTTTTAAGCATCATCTGGAATCACTGCCAAAAAACTTCGGAACAGTATTTACAGAGCAGAGTCGCCTTCGACTTTTCATAGTCTTCCGCATGCTCCTTCCTCACTCGCGCAACCACGTCCGCAGCTTTACAGGCAGGGGCGCGAGCTGTCTCTGCGGTCTACTTTCGTTGACATCCATCTTTTCACAGGTCCGCTCAAAGTTCACCAAAAAAAGGTCATTGTTCTCACTCATTTGGAACGGCTGTATCAGTTTCGGCATCTTAAAACTCTCTGACTCTTCCTGGCCTGATCGCTTACAGCCTTACCGAGTTTCCGTTTCTCCAACTCGAATCTCTGAAACACCAGTTCCCTTTCACTGAGATGAAGATATCGCCTGCGATCACTATTTTTTCTTTTCTACTTTATTTATTTTATTTATTCTATTCACAATTACCCTCAGGGCTCGAGGGGCTCTACAGAGAGGAGTGGTTGGTAAATGCAATTCTAAATTTAGCGTTATCGGTGATAGTGACGATGTCATCGGGAAGGCCATTCCAGTGCACAATAGCTTCTGGGCTTTAAGAATGTCACGATCTTATCCAAGCACTTCAGGATCCCAGCACTCCAAGATCTGGTCTTGTTCTAGGCCGAATGCCAAGATCTTATCAATGAGCAGATGTCTCTTGACTACCCTCGGTAGCTCAAGCAATAATTATCCTAATAGCTGAATCAAATCACGCATCTTCAATTTTGCCCTCTCTATCCTGCCCTTTCCATTTCTGCTTCTGGGAATGCAATTTGCGCTGGGCATTTCCATTTAATATGAAATACTACTACGTCACGCTTCTTTAGTAGCCACCTAAGTTTTCAATTGTCATTGATAAATTCGAGTTGAAAGGCTCGGCGAGCCCTAATTACGCAAGTGCTGTGAAAAGGCGAGCCCCTTTCGCGCGAACAGAAAACAAGCCAGCTCCAGTTATTAGGAGCTGTTGACATCTGAAAGTTAAATAGTAGGGAACGTTGTTGGGCTAGTTGGTTCATCGTATTTAGACATATAAAATAGCGCAAAAAAGACAAGGACGAGAAGTATACAGGACAAGCACTAGACGGTCCCACAATGTAACGCGCGGGACAAGCGCTTGCGCTTTTCCCGCGCGTTGCAGCTCTTGTCCTGTACACTTCTTGTCCTTGTCTTTTTTGCGCTACTTTATATGAAAGTTAAATATTACTCAAAAAATAATAACTAAGTTCCGGTTGCGGTCACTCCTACCTCACTGAATGTTTTTGAAATAACTAACTACTGATACCATAGCTAATTAGGGTAGCCAAATACTTGAAAATACTCAATTTGAATCTCGAATTGTATCATAGCATTTCTCCCACATACTAGAAAAATTCTAGAAAGTACAGAGTTATAGCATTATGTTCCTATAAAGTCACGCCGTTGATGATTTTATAGTTAAGAGCATAGCTGGTGAAAACAAATTGTGACAAAAACTAAAGCGAGACTACAGGTGAGCTGGTGTATAACAAACAACCCAGGTGCACATAAAAAAGCGGACGAACAAAACAAAACTCCAAACACTGCTAAAATTAATATTAATCCAATACATAATTGAGTAGTCCCACGATCTATCAGAAGTACAGACTGAGCGTTATACCTTATGAAACAGTCTACGAAGAAACTACTAACAAAATGACGAAGAACACCAAGGACGCAACATAGAAGCACATTTTCTCCGGAGGGTCGACACGAGGTACTGGACTCACAGCTGTGAGCTCTCACGAGTATTTTTTCTTGCTCCAAGGCTAATTATCTGTTAAGAGCTTTCTAATCGCAAGATTAGAACCATACTCGCTTTTAGTATCTTTATTTAACGAGCTCCGCAAGCACCTACAAGAAGCAGCCCAATTTTGAAGGCTTTATCGGTTGGGAGTCAATCCAGATTGTTACAACCACTGCGCCTAATCAGAAAGATCAGGAACGTCCATGAGGCCACGCAAAACATCAGGAGCTGCTCCCAGTGCAGTGCTGTATTATGTATGCTCCACATAAAAGGGTGAATCTTTCGCGACATCAATTCACTCTCTTTCACTAACTGGAGTGAAGAAGCCTGCCACGGTAAGTTTACCAGGTACTTCATACCTCTACTTTGTTTAACCTTAAGCCCGGACGTTATTAGAGCTGCGAGCCGATTGGGCCAATCAAGCTAATGGGAAAGTGCTAGTTCACAGTTTCATAGTGGTATATGGTTCGACGAATTCTCATTGGCACTTCAAAATGAGTCCACAAGACGGTTACCAAAAATTAAAAAAAAAATGCTTTCTTTCCTAATACCATTCATAATGCGCAAGTAAAAATAGTCAATGAATACGAGCGCCTCGGCGTCACGCTCACATCTTGCCTGATCTAGAATAGAGTCCTTTCGAAAGTCACGTGCCGATTGGTAGAATTGCTGCACAATGGCGGAGCAACCCACACCGCTGAACGTGCGAGTCTAAACCTAGAAGAAACACAAGCACAAACTCACGTACTAAAACTATAAGGTCACGTTGTATGTCTGCGCTTGATTTGCTTAGCCGATGATAGCATACGCACTGGCAGACAACGAACGCCGTGACGTTGCGCATTTGATGCGGGGTGTTTGCATCCATTGTCAAGTAGCGTTGGTTGTGGTGTGTCGTCGGTGTCCTCTATGGTACAGGGATTCCGCCAGCTTCCGATAGAGGGGTGACTTTAGAAAGGGGTCTACTTACATATTAGCAAAGGAGATACAAAGGAAAAAAAATGTGCGAGTTCTCTGCAGGTTAATGTGCTGGTTCTTGGGCGAATTGGTGCTAAAACTTTAAGAACAAGGCGGCGCTTTTAAACACGGACGAGAGGACAAAGAGACCCAGTCCTTGCGAATAATGGCAGGGCAGGGTATTGGTTGAGTGACGCGATGGCGCGGAGTATTTGTACCCATCTTTTTTTTCTGCATTATGAACAGTTGAAGTTAGCGCATTGTGTTGTCGTGTTTTCCCATGTCGTCCGTGACTAAACGGGCTACCATGTTCACAAAGTCTCTGCACGTGCTGGCGTCGTTATGCATCTGTGAATAAGTTAGCAACGTATAAAAGTTTAATTGGTCCAATTCTGCAATGCATAGGCACGGTATGGGATCCATGACCCCAAGCGTTCATTAACGCACTGAAAAACGTCCGGGAGAAAGCGCTGCGATTTCTTTACAACCGAAATGAGAGATAGGCTTCAATGGCGGAACTTTATTTACTCCGTTTCCCATCAATTTGTAAGCGCTGCCAAAGCTACGAGCTTGTGGGCACCCTGTTTATACCTGTGTGTTATCGCCAACCGATACATCGCGTTTCTAGATCGTACTTTTGTGTTTATTTTATAACTAGTTCCCAATCCCGCTACTTAAGGTATAACGAAAGGTAGCAGTATACCTATTTACTAAGCATTAAAGATTTCGTGCCCGGTGATCGAGTTATTTTGTAAACCCAAGTTGGTCCACTCTCAGAACCCTCTCTGGGAACAGCGTGGAAGAGTATAGTTATTGCTAAAGACAATGCAAGATATAGGTGATGTACACACAAAAAACTCTATGCTCAGGTGTCTTCCAGTGTATTGTGTGTAAAAGAATATTTTTTTTAGTTCCTCGTACCAATTGTCTTATATTTTTATGTGCATATTGCGAACGCAGCCTCAAAAGCCTTCCATACTTTAGGCGGCGGGATTTTAAAAGCAAATGTGCTCTGCATAACTTGGGATCCTTTTTACCGTTCGCTTAGATTTATTAAATTTGAAGAGTGCAAAACAAGTGTGAGATTTGTTGTTGGGAGGTATGGGTATGAGGAAATCATCCGGACTATCAAAATTGACCTTCAAGTAAGGTCAGAGTGTACTTTCATAGAAAATATATTTGGTTAAAACTGATGCATTCACTGAACTCGAACAAAACATTGAGAGACAAAAGATTGGTATGTGCCATATTTTAAATAAGGAAGGTCAAATCACGCTTGCCAAATTAGAAAATTATCTGTAAAAGTAATGTCTGCAAATACTTATTTTTCCACTTATAGTTGAAGAATAGAATCGGCTACCCATTAGTAGACTGTTTCAATGTTTTCTAACAATGAAAGGATTTGATTTTTTTAATCTTAAACGAAAGTGACTAGTGACGTCTCTTGTCTTTCGGCTTTCCTTTCTTGATAATCAAGTTTATTAAGGCTTATATGCTTATTTTGTATTCGTGAACACCTATATTCTATATATATTTCGGTGTACATTTCTGCCTATATCTATATATATGTTCCTTGTGTATTTTTGTCTAGATGTGTGCGTATATTTTTATATAAATCCGTATGCATTTCTACTCTCTGCCCTTGTCACTTTTGTGGAGTAATTTCCTCCCGGTGCTACAAAATAAAATAAAGCAATTAAGGAATCATATTCAGATGTTTTGTACAAGGTCCATCTACCTTTTTTTTTTTATTTGTTAGGGCTTACAATTCCCAGTTCACAACAAAATGGTGGTATACCCAAAGCTAGGTGCTCGTCGGACGAATTGAGTCTGTAAAGTTCGCCGCTATACGCGCCCGCAGAGAGTGCATGACCGTAGTGTGAAGACATCTGCTTGATCCAGGTACGCTATATTACAGCAAGGGCAGATTTAAAATAAGGTTTTGAGGGGGTGATGGTAATTTTTTTTTGTTTTATTAAATTTCTATTATTGGCTCTTCCATTGGATGAAAAGAAAAACTTAAATTCTTTCAAGGCAAAATCGTTTTTTTTTTTTTGGTTTTTGTTTTTGCTGGGGGCGCTTTTGAAAGAAAATGGAACGTCACAGTTAGATGTGACGCCCCGGACGCCGCGTACGTACGTTTCGCTCCAAAGTTCGTGGGCAAGTATTACCGCTACATTTGGCGGGCAGTGCTTTCGTTGGAGTCTTGAACTTTATGAATAACTTCACTTTATTTCCTTAAAAACCTCCTTAAAAGTATTATATAAAGGGTGGGTTAATATAAACAAATTTCCACAGCACTTCAATTTTGAAGGTAATGTGATAAATGTTCCAAGAAGTTTGATGGGCAGGTTATGGCAGCAATCTGGTGGGAATGGCCGCTTCAGTCACAGGCCGCTCGAGAAAAAAATTAGGAATAAAAGCTAGTGGTGCAGGTACCTGGGTGAGAGATTTAAAGTGGGTGACCAGTGCGGCTGGGGATATGCGTGCACGGGGTACAATGTAGGGTGCATGGGCGAGCGAAGAATTACATAACTGTTAAAATAAACAAAGACTCTTTATGCAATGACGACAAGAAAGCTTAGTTAGATTTCATTCAGCTTTCACTGAGGAAATGCTAACATCGTACGAATATGAAGGATGAATGAATCTAGTGGAGTGATTTTGAACTGCTTTGAGAGCGTTAATAAGATAAACTTGATGCGAACTCCAGATGGCAGATGCATATTCAAACTTTCATCTAATTAGTGATTTGTAGGCTAGTAATTTTACGTGTTTCCGTGTTTACGTGTTGACCCTTATAAATGTACATTCACGTCTTTTCACCGCCGCCGTAACCCCCTGTGTTATTGCACTAATTTCCGTTGAATTAGTGGACTCAGACAAATCCTTGGTGTCACCCTCTGCAACAATCTTATGGCGTTCGCATGTAACTTATCGCACCCGCAAATAAAACAAGAGTATTCCTGAACCGTCACCCAGGGTGCCTAGTTGACGCTTCAGGAATCCTAGTGTTCCCTTCACGGAAGCGATAATTCGGAAGGATTAGGGAGTCCGCAGTCTCCCCAATTTCAATTATTGCTTTATTTGTAAAATATTTAGAAGACTGGAACCGAGAAATCGAGTTTCTGCCCTAGTTTGAAAAAGAACGTCCTTAATAACTGGAATTCAGTTTATCAAAATAAGCACGTCGGGCTGTTCCCTCTCACAGATGTTATGACTGTACACTTCTTGAGAAAGCAGACCTTTGCATCTTCACGAATTGAACTTTGTCTTTGTCAACTCATATAGTACTTGCTGAGCGGTTAAGCCCGTCTCCTATTGGTGTTTCATCGTAAGGCCAAAGGCGCGGGAAAGCAAAACAAAATAGGTCGAATTCGAATATCGTATTTTCACTGCAGACTTCTAATGTATTTACTTAATAATGGTCATTTTACCAAGAGCAAGGTACTGCCAGATGGATTTAGATTTGAACCGGTTGATGACTTAGAATCTCGATATATTTTGTAATTTATCCAAACTCTTTCAAAAACATAAGCGTTGCGAGAAGCAAGATGGAAAGGAGGGGAGGGGAAGGGTTAAGCACATGCTGAAATATTACAGGCACATTTTTACGAACATAATGTTGCCGGCCGTTGAATCAGTTTTTGCATAGGTAACTTTATTTGTATTTCAATTTCTTCACAACTTTATGGGATTACGTCAATAAAGACATTATGGTATGTTTTTTTCTAGTTCTGTTTAATATTCGTCTTATTCACGTAAAGTATTTTTAACTTTTGATTTTAGCAAGAGCTAAAGATGGGCAATCTGATATATTAAAACGACGGAGGGGTTTTAGCCTATTTGAGTTACGGTGATTATTTCGGAAATTACGTGGATGTTTTTAATTCAAGAAAAGAGCGAATTATATAGATTTCGATGAACGAACTGTGCCCCCTAGAAAACGCGTACACTCTAAAAAAAGCGTGTAGGCGTTACACCCCTTGGCACATATACGACACCCCAAAACTTCAGTTGGGCGTACAGCGCGCCGACTTCGAACTGACTGCCTGAACTTTTGCGAGAGGGTGGATGACGGTGCGATATAACATATTATACAGCTAAAGTACGTATCAAAGTCTACAGGGAAAAAACACACAGGTTTTGCAGGTGAGCATGGAAAACCTTGATAACTTTTTTTGCACTCAGTCATACTTACATTAACTACTTTAATGAGTTGTACAACTCGGATATCAAGCCGCTCGTGAAATTGTGTATTGTTGGTACAACGTCAGTGCGCTGTACATCCAACTGAAGTTTTGGGGTGTCGTATATGTGACAAGGGGTGTAACGTCTACACCCTCTTTTTTTTAGACTGTAGTGCCTTTACCGGCGCAATGCTAAATAAATATAAAATACAGATGGAAAAAATAGTTGCAATAGTGAACCCGCAAAGAAAGAAACATTTATGGGTATGAAAAGTGAAGCAAGCTTTAGGCTTTTGAAGAGACGCAGTAAAATTAATACAGCCAAACTGCATTACTTTTTTTGTAATTCAATCAACAAAATGTAAAGTGTCAGTCATACGGTAGACATATATTACTTTACCTTATGACAAAACAAATACACCTAATTGCAGATGAGACGTCTATATCTTGTGGCATTCTCCATCCTGGCCCTTTCAATGCAAAGTAAGTTCCGGATATACGTTTTTAATGAGAATCCACTAACATTTAATTCTCCCTGCTTCTACTACCACTGTCATGCTAGTCTGCAGTGGCAGGTGAGTTCCTCTTACCAAATTTTAAGGTCTTAGAAACATTACCCAATTTGTATTTCGACTTGTTTTTATGTTAAAATATTTGCTGCTCTTCAGGCCGCAACTAAGTAAAGATGTGACAAACTTTGAATGCAACCAAGACGACTCAGTGGTGACTGAATCCTCTCAAAATGCATCAGACTACAAGAGTACAGAAGTTACGGTCATTGGTACCCTCAAGGACATTTCCGAGATCCTGAAAAACAAGTTCATAGCCATCGGGGACAAAATAAAGGACAAGCTGCATGAACTAAACCAAGCTTACGGCGATCAGGCCGAAAATATCAAAGTAGAGCTTAAGCGTTTGAAACAGCAACTGAAAGACTCCACCCAGGCTCTCAAAGAGAAAATGCAGGACCTCTTCAGGAAAAGCCAGTACGCATCGCTGTGCGAACATGCCAGCAATTTTCGGGAAAAAATAGTCGAGATTCGAGAAAGACTTAATGAGTTTATGAAGGCCGCGAAGGATATCACCGGCGATAAATTGAGACAGATGCAGGAACGGGCGAAGAAGTTAAGAAAGCAGATTAAAATTAAAATACAGGAACTTTTTCATGGCTCTAGAGATTCTCAGGAGGCTCTTTACCATCTAAGCGATGACGACAATAATGAAGATAATGAGGCCTATGTTATCGCAACCCTTAAAGACATTTCCAAGACCATGAAGGAGAGGTTTCTTATTATAGTCGAGCAATTGAAGCAGAAATTTGCCAAGCTGAAGCAGGTTGGTTTAAAGGATACGGAAGAGATCAAAATGCAGATACACAATCTGAAGAAAACGTTGGCCGACTCTGTTGGAGCTATAAAGCAGAAGGTTGGAGAATTGCTTAACCCGGCTCAGTATGCGTCACTAGGAAAACACGTGATGAAAATTATTGCTAAGATGGCCAATCTTCGCGAAACGCTTAACAAACTTAAGGAAGAAGTAAAGAGAGTAAGTGGTGAGAAACTGGCGAGGCTTAAGGAGATAATCAAAGAAACGCGTCAGAAAATCAGGGAGCACATTCAGGAACTCATATACGGCTCCAGCTATTCTCCCATGGCTCTATACCACGAAAGCGACGATGACAATGAGGACAAAGATGGTGAGGCTTACTTTATCGAAACACTTGAAGACATCTCCAAGACCCTCAAGGATAAGTTTCTCATTCTTGTCGTGCGCTTGAAGCAGATATTTGCGGAGCTCCAGCAAGTTGGCGGTAAACACACAGAGAAGATTAAAGCGCAAATTCAGAATCTTAAAGAGAAAGTGGCCGATGTCCGCGAAGAGATAAAGCCAAAGATTCAAGCATTGGTTAAACCAACACAGTATGCATCATTCAAAGGACATACGATGGAAACGTTCCGTAAATTGCTCAAGATTCAAGAGCAGCTTTTCAAGTTCCTGGCAGACGTGCAAGAGGTCACTGCTGACAAAGCGGAAGCGCTTGAAAAACTCATTAAAAGAACGCTTCAGGAAACCAGGGAGAATGTCAAAGAACTCATCGGCTGCAGAAGAGACAAGACAGCCCTCTACCAAGCAAGCGACGGCGACAAATATGTCGAAGCCTACATAGTCGACACGCTCAAAACTATTTTAAAAACCCTAAAAGAAACATTTCTCGTGTTAGGAGCACAAATTGCAGACAAAGTAAATGAAATCAAGGAAGCTGTCGGAGAGCGTGCCACGGTGCTCAAAACCCAACTTGAAGATCTCAAGGGGCAGCTCGGTGAAGCAGCTGGTGACTTGAAGAAGGAGGTCCTGGAGATAGTTCGACCTGAGAAGTTGGCGCCGTACGGCTTGTCTGACGATCTTCTTCAGCCGTTTTAGAAAACCTGGCTACTCTAATCAACAGGTTGCAGAGTTTCTTGGACAAGGTGCAGAAACTTGCATGGGAGAAGTGGGTGAAGATAGAGGAGAACATTCGTGACCTGAGGAGCGGGATCAAGCAAAGCATAGAGAAGCTTGAACTCACTCTACACACAGAAGATCTGCTGAAAATTACAAAAATTTCCTTGTGAATCTACCGAATGCGATTTTTTTTTGTTTTAATAAAAGTAAATAAACTAATAAAATTGTGTTCATTCATCTACCGTTCATTCATTAAGGCCTCAAAACTACGACTCGTTTAGCTTTTTTTTTATTCTGCACATTTGTATTCAAACATGTATTTATTTTAGGTTTAATTATAAACATTATTATTCCAAAATTGTGTGCGTTCTGTTGATACCTACTTCACACGATTACAACATCCATTTATGTTATTTGACCCCGAAACTCAAGTTCAGGTGAGAACGAAGGCGCCGCCAGGTGACAACGCTATTGAGCGTGTTAGTCAATATTAATCATTTGATAATGGTCAGGTGATTCACATATTTTGTAACTAAATAGACTTCTAAGGCAACACTGCGCAGAGACTGCTTGCTAGGTGAAGAGAATGCCAGCAAGGAAGCGCAGCTGTTGGTGTGACGTCTTAGCGCGCACGACCAATAGCGTGTCGCCGAGCGGTGTGTAGAGGGAGGAGGGTAAGCGGTGCGCAAACAGTACTCCCTAACTGCCTCCTCCCTTCCTCCCTCCCCCCCCCCCCCTCCGCTACGAAGGAACGGGCTGCGTAGTAGGGTAGGAACAGCGCAATAGTAGAATGACCTAAACATGTTATCACCTCAAGAACCGTAGTGAAAAAAGCCTGGCTCCTCGCGGAGCTCAGGGTTGGGCAGAAATACTCAAAAAGGTATTTGGAAATACAAATACTGGGATATATTAAAATGGTACCTAAAATACTGATACTCAAATATATCCGAAGAAGTGTATCGCGATACGTATCGGAAATACATTTTAATTAGAGGCAAAAAGTATTTGGAAATACAAATACAGGAATACATTTTAGGGAGGTTAGAAATACAGATACAGAAATACTGATACTGCAAGATATTTTTCAAATTTGTTTTAAAATGCCAATTGAGATGAAGCATGAAGTTGGAAGTGGAAGTTTTTGATCCCGAAACTACTTTCCCGTAGGCTTGGCACTTTGCCTTGAAGGCAGTGGTTTCAGACGACGAGGAGTCTTCAATGGGATTAAAAAAAACGTTCCACCAAGGACTGCCCGCGGTCCCTTCCCTGACATCCTATATGTCTGACGAGGGATGCGAAAAGACTTGGACCTCTAAATAAATGATATGCCATGCTAAATCCCATCAAAACGTCACAACGCCCCTGTCCAATAAGGACGCCCCTGTCAACATTGATCACATGATGTCACGGTGGAATGAACTGGTATTCTTGATCTGTAGGTGTGGCCTTGACCATGAAACTTTACCACGCTCCTGTATGAAAGGACAATACGTACTTTCGTTGTAGGTTACCTCGTTGAAGATCATGCAGGCACCTTTGGAATTTTCGAGAGTAGTGAACCACCTGAAACATTCTGGAACACATGCCTTATCTTCTGTTACGGCTGAAAAAACGATACGGTGGCATCCCTGTTGTGGAGGTCCTTCCTGCCGACTTTCCGCCACCGACGCATGGATTTCAGTCCGCAAGTTTCGCCTAGCATCATCCAAACAGAGGCCTCGTAAATGGCGACCTGATATTGCCGGCACAGGTGCGAGCCCTTCGAGAAACAGCGCGCTCGAGACGAGTCACAGGTGTACGAAGTCTGGGTCGGCACAGCGAGGCCACGTCTAGCCTTCTTTCTGGGTTTCGGATCACCAGAGCAGCGGGTCACGTTCACGTCGGCTGATGACGTACCCTTGAGCCGTGCAATATTACGGGCGCAGCCGCAGACGCCTTCGAATATGTGTTGAACTTCACTGCGTCAGCCATCCTATCTATTTCAAGTCAACCACCGCCAGGCTCGTGCTGCAACGGACTGTGACTCAGCTTCGCCGGCTGGTTGTACTGTGTACCCTAAAGCAAGAGAGGCGGTTAGCCGCGGGCATTGGATGCCAGCAAACAATCACTCAAGAAATTCCTACCGAGGACCTAGGGCAGAAGATGCTCTCACTCCACTCCTGGCACGCCACCTGGTTCGAGTTCGCGACTAAGGCAACACTTCTCAGAAGAGAGAAGAGGACGCATAGAAAAATAGTTCGGAGAATCGGAGGGAACCTCGGTCGGCATGGTAACAATGCCCCAGCATCTCCTTGACCTAGCACCTCAGAAGTAAAAAAATAAAATAAAAAATAGATGCGCGCGGATGTTTTTTTTTGGGGGGCGGGGGGGGGGGGGGGGGAGGGGGGAGTATTTCTCAAGAGATGTATCGAAATACATTTTACCCCGATTGTATCGCAATACAAAGAAACATTCCAAATGTATTTGGATACAGGAATACAGATACTTATGAAAAAAAATGTATTGCGATACAGAAATACACATACGAAATGTATTTCTGAAATACTATCGTGATACATTTGCATTGCGATACTGCCCAACCCTGGCGGAGCTTTAATAATTTTCCACTATATTTGGAAAACTAAGATATATATGGGTGCATTCTACATTAGATATATCTTACCTTATTAGGACTTATTAAGACATTCAAGATTGTAAAGTACCTAGGTACAAGGTATATATTACGCAGTGTACCTGGATACGACTGCGTAATATATACTAAATCTACTAACGACCCTGATATTTTAAAGCTCCAAACACATATGAATGCTGTTTATCACTGGTGTGAACTTTGGAATATGGAACTTAACATTACTAAATGTAAAGTTGTGAAAATATCACGTACTAGTCCTAATGTGCCCTTCTACCATCTCAACAACGTCCCTTTGGCCCCTGTTTCTTGTTATCAATATTTGGGCGTTCAGATTACTTGCAACCTCTCATGGAAACTGCATGTTGAATATGTCATCAATAACACTAACCATATGCTAGGTTACCTGAAAAGAAACTTTGCTCTCGCACCGTCAGCCTTGAAATTAACACTGCATAAATCTCTGGTTTGCTCCAAATTAGAGTATGCTTCTTCTAGATGGGACCCAAATCAGTCTAACCTAATTAATGTTCTGGAAGCGGTCCAAAACCGTCCTGTCCGTTTTATTCTAGGTAACTATCACCGCATTGCCAGTGTAAGCTCCATGAATATCACCTTGTCCCTGCCTAACCTCTCTCTCCGACGTAAAGTCGCTCGTTTGTGACTTTTCCACAAGATCTATCATGCTAACCCCTACTGAAAGCAGCGTCTTTTCATCCCAACGTTCTACATTTCAGCTCGCATCGATCATCACCTCAAAGTTGGAATTTCTAAATGTAATACCAACACATTTCTACTATCATTCGTCCATAAAACTTCTTTGGAATGGAATCACCTTCCGACTTCCGTAATTTATATTCTTGGGACCCAATTTTTTTTTTTAAATGCTATAAACACTCTTTACTCTCCCGAGCAGCCGTGATACCTTATGTACTCTGCCCTTTTGTTTCTTTTTGTGTGTTAGTTTGTTACTCCCACTCCCCTCTTTAATGCCGATTGGCCTTGAGGGTATTTAAATAAATCAATAAAATAAATAAGTAACTGTAAAGCGGTATCTAGGTACCTTTTTGTACCTGAGGTATAAACCTAGGTACTTTTATTTCTCGGTATTTGTATCTTTATCTTAGGCACATTTTTCAGTACTTGCAACTAAGTGAAGTTACTTTTTATAGGTAATTTTCTATTCACTTCGTCAAAATGGTAGAAACTATTAGTCTTGAAGTATTAACACACTACCATGTGGCGAGATTAAAGTTGAGTTAGGTACGACCCAGGAGACACTGACTTGATCGAACGACGTTTTATTGAACGAAGCCCCACCCATGATGTTTCATTAAACGACACTTTAGCGAATGGTGGTCTTCATTTGAGCGAACCGTGGATTAGCAATGCCATTCTAGCGACAGTAATTTATCGAATCGCTTCAGAACTTCATTTAGGGAATATAGCGAACTGCTTCATTCATCTCAAACCGAAATCGACTTCATTGCGTGTTTGAAGCTCTTCTGACAGCTATGCAGAGGTGGAGATAACCTGAAAGATGTGCGCAGTTTCTGTTAAAACCCCTGTATCAGGGAAAAGTGGCACATTCTCTTTCCTCCTCCTAAACTGCGATCAAAGATGTAAGATAAACACTTCTAGGAGGTCCTTATTCAAAAGTAAAAAAGAGCACTAAAGTGAAAAGGATAACGTGTCCTGGAATGTTCATGTGAATGCGGTTTTTCTTTTTTCTCGCAGCTTCACCAATAAAGCACTTTTCTCTAACTCGTTTTGTGTGTACCATTAGTTTAAAAAAAAGCTTTATTTCCAATATATCCTGAGAAATGTAGGGAAAATAAATAAAGAAAGTATATTTAAAGTAACTGCACCTGTACCTAGGTACATTTTTAAACGAACACCTAGGTACGCTCCTAAGTACCTTTTCATAGGAGAAGGTCTAACTGTATCTTAGGTACATTTTTGAAGTAACTTTTACAACCCCGCATTTCAAACGCGAAAAGTGTCAAACAAGCCGTCGTGGGAGAGGAAAGAACAGTCTCGTTTATTCAAACACCCGTGAATATATACAGATGATTCGGGTCACGTGACAAGTGATAACATTTGGCGAGGAATCGCCCGTCGGCGCGTCGGCGCGTTATCAGGATGACATCACATCTTCCCCTTTTACTTCAGGTAGGAAAACATAACAAATCCTTCTTTGTCGTAAACAAACTAGTCATTAATTTAAGTCTTTTATGAATATTTACAACACGCCCAGATCGCGTCGTTACACCGTGTGACGCGGTTTCACCCGCTTGGGCAGTCTGTGGAATGCTGGTCGCCAGATGATCGGACGTGCAAGGCTCGCTTGGCGGTGTGGTCTCCCCAGACTTGCTTGCATCATTCGTGGTCTTGTCCGCGGGCTCGGCATTTTGTTGACACTCTGGCTCTGCACCAGCATCGATGTCCGGCAACAAGAACAGGTGACGGCGGTTCCTGCGGGAGCTACCTCCTTTGTCCTGACCAGTCTTGTACACGTTACTAAAAAAAAAGTAATCGATTACAATTACTATTACTCTTAGCTAAAAAGTATTCGATTAGATTACTTCATTACTCGACAGCAAAAGTAATTGGACATTACTTTAAGAAGTAACCGTTACTTTTCCGATTACTTTATTGTGAGAAGACTTACATCTTAATGAATAAAACTTGGAATATCTGGTTCCAAATAAAAGGTATTTTATTTTCTTGCTTTTTATATTTTCTTGTATTGGCAACCAAGTGGCCCTTGCTGTCTTTCGCACACAGACGCGCTTCTCCAGATATTATTTACATGTCGATGAACTCGCATGTTATACAAAAGAGCAGCAACTCCAGGATTTAAAAAGGATCATGTGTAGCATCCATTAGTGAAAGAGATCGCCCCGACCACTTCTCAACTCGAAACCTTGCTTATTACAAAGACCATGTAGAGGAAATAGGGAAATATTTGAAATGGCTTTGTCATATTGCCGCGCGCCAAGTAGGCACCGCGGCCGTAGCACAACGGTTATCGCGCTTACCTCCCACGCGAAGGGCCAGGGCTCGATTCCTGGCCGCGGCTACGCATTTTTGTTTACACTGTAATGTGATGTTCTAGTGAATTCGAGAACCGTCTAGCTGATTCGAGGTTAGAATGTTCTCCGCGTCGAACCTTCTACATCGAACGCTCCAGAAGCCAACGCGTGTAGAAAAGCGGCTCCGCCTGGCAAGCAGGGTTCAGTCTCGCCCCAGCGTTCAACTCTGCTGCCACGCCGACTTCGACGCCCGCGACACCCTATTATTATCTTTTGTACTCTTTTATTTTTGGCACAAGTTCGCCACATTAAACGTTTATTTCTTCCTGTTTATTTGTTATTTTTGGTCACTACCCGTGACATTTTGGTGGAGGTGCGGGGTACCGCATGCCCGTGCAGCGTTCCCCTCCAAGGGACCGCAGTGCAAGTCCGATTCCCGGCTCGGTGAGAAGACCACTCACCGCAGAACCTGAAATTCGGACCAGCCGCCGCACCAAGGGAGAGGATCCTGAGTACGGTTTGCTCCTGGACAAGCCCAAGCCGCAGAAGACGACGATGGCCAACCAGTCGCAAGCCCCCGCCGCTTCTCCCGTCGTCTACATGCCCGTCGCACCGCGGACGGCTGCCCCCTTTCACGGTGAACTCTACGAAGACGTCGAAGACTGGATTGACCAGTATGAACGCGTTGCCCGCCACAATGGCTGGACCGACGAGCAACGCCTGCACAACGTCTACTTCTCGCTTGAGGGAACCGCCAAGCACTGGTATGAGAACCATGAGTCCTCTTTGACGTCGTGGGACATCTTCAAGACCAACCTGAAGGCTACGTTCGTCAACCACCACCGCCGAGAGAGAGCCGAGGACCTACTGCGAACCAGGACCCAGGGCCCCAATGAAAGCGTCACGAGCTTTGTTGAAGACGTGCTCCGCCTGAGCTCCCGCGCCGATCCTCAGGCCACCGAGGGAAAGAAGCTGCGCATTTTGATGCGGGGCGTGAAGGACGACATCTTCGGAGGCCTCGTCCGCAACCCGCCGGCAACCGTCGACGCCTTCGTCAGCGAGGCGACAAACATCGAGCGCGCCCTCCAAGCGCGCGCTTCCCACCACCAGCGGCAGCCAAGCGTCACTGCAACCGCGCTGCTTAGCGGTGAAAACGTGTTTGGTACGGACATCCGCGAAATTATCCGGGAGGTTGTCCGGGAGGAACTGCGAAGGTTGCTGCCAACCACCAGCCGTCCGCCAACCATTTCCATCGCCGAGGCTGTCCGAGAAGAAGTGCATCGCGCGCTCCAACCAGAGGTTCCCGTCACCAGGGTGGCACCGGAGGAACCGACGTTGAGCTACGCCGCCATGGCCCGACGACCGCCGCAAGCTTCCCGCCAAGCCACGGCGCCACCCCGAAGAGACGCCCCAACGCCGCAGTACCCTCGACGGCAGGAAGATCAGGCGCACGTTCCCCCAGAGCGACCTGCGCCGAGGAAGACAGACGTCTGGAGGACGGCCGACCGACGCCCGCTGTGTTACCACTGCGGGGAAGCTGACCATGTGTACCGCCGATGCCCATACCGACGACTCGGGCTGCGCGGATTCCACCCAAGCGACCCGCGCCCCCGGTATGGTGAACGCCCTCGGGAGATCGACGAGTACCTGCGACGACCCCAGTCCCCCGAGCCTGCGTCACGCCGAGAGTTCCGGTCGCCGTCACCGGGACGTCCAGCTTCGCCGATGCACCGACCCCGACGTGAAAGCCTGTCACCCCTCGCTCCTCGCCGGGGAAACTAGGCGCGGCAACCCCTGGAGGTGGAGTTGCCGAAGACGACCGACGCCAAGATCCTCCACGAACGTCAGAGGGCCCCCACTCAAACGCTACCAGAAATCGAAACGACGCCCCTGCAACGGTGTCCAATAACCTAAACGTCGTCATCGACGGCCACGACGCATCAGCGCTCGTGGACACCGGAGCAGACTACTCAGTCTTGAGTGGGAGGCTCTCCCGCCGCCTTCGAAAAGTCACCACGCCGTGGGATGGACCACAAATACGAACCGCCGGAGGGCACCTCATCACACCAGTCGGGAGATGCACTGCTCGCGTAGAGATCCACGGTGAGACGTGCCCTGTTAAATTCGTCGTTCTGCAAGACTGTTCAAGAGACGTTATCCTCGGAATGGACTTTCTCTGCGAGTATGGCGCCGTCATCGACCTCGGGGCAAACCAGCTGACGCTGCGAAAGCCTGTTTTACCGTCGGTGGAGACCAACACGACGTCAACCGCGATCCGAGTTATCGCCGACCATGTGAACTTACCGCCGCGGTCCAGTGTTTTCGTCCCCGTCATAACCGACGCAGCCATGCACGGTGAAGCTCTTCTGGAAGGCAACGTCCGACTGCTCCTTGAGAAAGGAATTGGCGTCGCACGAGGCGTAACGGATCTCCAAGAAGGACGTGCAACTGTTCTTGTAACGAACTTCCGAGAGGAGCCGCAGCACCTAACGAAGGGTACCACTGTGGGCCACATTGAGGAGCTTCAGGCGCCAGTCGTGGTCACCGCAATCTCCGTAAAAACCTCGTCGTCACAGCAGAACAGCACGCCACCGCCGCTCGACATCGACCCCGAGCTCCCAGCTACGAAGCGCCGGCAACTGGTTGATCTCCTTGCCGAATACAGCGACTGTTTTGCCACGACATCCAAGATTCGCCAAACACCAATGGCGAAACATCGCATTGTTACCGACGACGACGCACCTCCTGTCCACCAGTCGCCGTATCGAGTCTCCTTAAAGAAAAGGAAGGTGATTCAAGATCAAGTCCAGGAGATGCTCGACGACGACATCATTCAACCCTCAAGAAGCCCATGGGCGTCCCCAGTCGTCCTTGTAAAGAAGAAGGACGGAACCCTGCGGTTCTGCGTAGACTATCGTCGACTGAACGCTGTGACGAAGAAGGACGTCTATCCGCTCCCCCGCATCGACGATACGTTAGACCGACTGCGCCACTCCCGATATTTTTCGTCGATGGATCTGAAGAGTGGCTACTGGCAGATTGAAGTCGAGGAACGCGACCGGGAGAAAACTGCCTTCGTCACTCCCGACGGACTGTACGAATTTAAAGTGATGCCGTTCGGGCTTTGTACTGCGCCAGCCACCTTCCAGCGTGTCATGGACACCGTGCTGGCAGGTCTGAAATGGCAGAGCTGCCTCGTCTACCTCGACGACGTAGTGGTATTTTCACGAGATTTCGACGAGCACCTGAAACGACTTCGAGCCGTGCTTCAAGCCATCAAGACCGCCGGCCTGTCACTCAAGCCAACAAAGTGTCGATTCGCCTATGGTGAACTTAAGTTCCTTGGCCACGTCGTGAGCAACAAAGGTGTTCTCCCTGACCCTGAGAAGACCCGCGCCGTGGCTGCATTTACGCCGCCGTCTGACAAGAAGGCCGTGAGAAGATTCCTCGGACTTTGTGCCTACTACAGACGATTTGTTCGGGACTTCGCCAAGCTGTCCGCACCGCTGACGCACCTCACGAAGGACGCCGTAAAGTTCGAATGGACAGACGAACACCAGCAGTCATTCGATGAGCTGAAACGAAGACTCCAGACGCCCCCGATTCTTGGCCATTTCGACCAGTTCGCTGATACAGAGATCCACACGGACGCCAGTAACACCGGACTTGGCGCAGTGCTAGTTCAAAGGCAGGACGGGGCAGAGCGAGTCATCGCATACGCGAGTCGGACGCTGTCTAAGGCGGAGAGGAACTACTCTACAACTGAAAAGGAGTGCCTTGCTGTCGTCTGGGCAATAACAAAGTTTCGCCCATATCTGTATGGAAGCCCTTTTCGCGTGGTCACGGACCACCACTCGCTCTGCTGGCTCGCGAATCTGAGAGACCCCTCCGGACGCCTCGCCCGGTGGAGCCTACGACTGCAGGAGTTCGACATGACCGTTGTGTACAAGTCCGGCCGGAAGCACCATGACGCCGACTGCCTGTCAAGAGCTCCTGTCGAGGACGGTCCTGCCTGTATCGAAGACGACGACGATGAGTGTTTCCTCGGCGCTTTGGACGTCAGCGACATGGCAGCACTCCAACGAGACGACCCTGAACTGCGAGCGCTCATCGATCACTTAGAGGGACAAGCGAGTTCGGTTCCCCGTGCTTTCTTAAGAATCCTGCATACATTTTCCATGCGGCGAGGCGTGCTGTACAAGGAGAACTTCATCAACAACAACACAGCATGGCTGTTGGTTGTTCCTGCAAGCCTTCGAGACGAAATATTCCAAGGATGCCATGACGACCCAACGGCTGGACACCTTGGCTACAGCAGGACGCTCGCCAGGATTCGAGAAAAGTACTACTTGCCGAGGCTACCGAAGACCGTTCACCTATACATTCGATCATGCCACGAGTGTCAGCGACGCAAGAAACCGCCAACGAAGCCGTCAGGACTTCTGCATCCGATTTCTCCCCCGTCTAT